AAGCTTCAGATTCATCTCCCCACTCCCATCTCTATCTCTGCATGAAATTTGTTATCTGGTTCTATTCACCAGAGGTCTTTGCTCTGCTCAGTCATCTAAAATGAGCATATGAAGTAAGACATGTTTTTCTGTGACTCCAAGAATATTTTTAAGTTAATCAGTAGGTTTCCTATGCACCTGAGCTGACATGATCAATCGTGCCTTTAACTTGAGACTGGGAGAAAAAGCACCCTGGGTAGGTGAGTCGTGAATGCCAAACAGCCAGGCTCACTTAGAAGGGAACGTGGAGTTTGCTGTCCTCAACCCCTTACCAAACTATGAGTCTGGATAGGAGCCCCTGGAAATCCTAGTGCCCCCAATGCCAACTCATCCATAGCCTCAGACTCTGGGCGCAGGTTGGCAGGACCCATTTGGAGGAGGGAGGAGAGGCAGGTCAGGGAACTGGGTGCCAGGCGGGGCCTGGAGGGCATCAGATGTTCATCATTCAAGCTCACAGATCAATGGAATCTAACGAAAGAGCAGAAAAACATCTTGCTAGCGCTCTGAAGTAATAATTCCCCCAAAGTATAAGGAAGCCAAATGTGTCCAATTCCCCCTTTTGAAATTTATTAAGTGAAAGAGACTAAATACAGTGTGATACAGTTTGGAAAGAAAAAAAAAAAACGAATTCTGAGCCTGACGTAATGACTTCTCAAGAACTCACTGGAATTACAGTGAGATTGGAATTCTAATGCCTTGACAAGATGTTTCCCAATCAAGGTGAAGTGAAGTCTGCTGGTGGTGGCTGTGTAGTCTGCTGGTCTCCGCCCACCCTATTCCCCTACCTCCATGCTGGCTACACTTCTCACTGAAAATATGAGCCTTTTAAAATGAATTCTTCCTACACTGAGCCATCTTTACATCAAAACAAACAAAAACCTGCCCACAACTTAAGAGGAAGAGTACACATCCATACCTGCTCACCAGGAAGCAAGGTGGCTGGGAATCTCCCAGACCCCCTGACTAACACACAGTGACCTTCATTTCGTCCCCCCGTGTGTGCAGGGCAGGGTGGAATAGGGATGGAAGGGGAGACTTTTCCCTTACACCACTGGCCAGGCAGCAAAAAGCGCAGGGTCAAACCAGGGGCAGGCACAGTGAGCGTGCGAGTGCGTGTGGGCACGTGGGTGTGCCTGCTGCCCTCTCCCGCACGCTGACAACTGCGTCTCTCTCCAGACCCAACACCCTTAACATATGAGAAGAGATGCCACTGACCAATGCTGAGGATTTTCTTAAGAGGGTCCCCCAGGGAGGAAAGCTTGGCAGGGGTGAACCCAAAAGTGGGGGTATTTTAGAGGGAGAGAGTAGGACCAACACGATGTCACTTAAATGTACTTAACCATTTTTCTTAAACATGTTTCCTAACCCAGATTCTCTCACTCTCCATGGAAAGCTAAGATCCTATTATTGTTGTTTAGTTGTTAAGTCCTACCCAATTCTTTGTGACCTCATGGACTTTAGTCCCTCAGGCTCCTCTGTCCATGGGGTTTCCCAGGCAGGAATACTGGAGTGAGTTGCCATTCCCCCAGGGAAGGAGAATGAAAATCTAAGTGTACAAAACATCCATGTTATATCATCCAAAGGCTAGAAATACTAAATTCAATATTCAAACAGAAGACACTGCTTCCAGTGAAATGACAGGGCTATAATAAAATAGAGGTACCTGTTAACAGCCACAATTTACCTAGTACCATGAGATTTGTGACTCTAAAGTACTATTCACTTTACATATATGTAGTATCTTTTTAAATTCTTAATCCCCATTTTGTAGATGAGAAAACTGAGGCTTAGTGAGGTTAAGTACTGTGTGGAATGGTGGGACTGTGTCCAGCACCACAGCCCCTGCCTGTCCTTTTCAGGTCAGTTTTATTGGGAACTCATGTGTCGTGGCTTGCGCCCTCGAGAGCTGTTCTCACATTTAGGTTAGGCAACATGAAACTGCCAATACGTAACCATTTTTTGACCCACCAAAATAGCAAATTAATATGTTTCAACATAAAATCTCAGCAGCCCTTGCCTTCCAGGCTGAGTAGGCACTTCTGTTTCAATATCACACAGCAACACGACTTTGTAAGGAATATTATAAACACTAATGGCTACAACTGGTCAGGGCAAGAAACTGTACGTTATCTATTTCTTTCTTACATTTTTCTTCTGTTTAAAGATTTATTCCTTGCCCTGAGACTTTTGTGTTTAGCCCCGCAGCTTGTCCAGTATTATAGACAAACAGATGCAAATGTTCTGTATAATTGCCACTGCTTAATTTGGCCACATTCACACATGTTATTTAGAAGAGATCTGGTGACAAGGTATTCCAGTGTGAAAAGGGCAGTCAAACCTCAGTCTGGTCAGGTTTGTCTTCATGACTTAAGTTCAGTTAATAATAGCATTAATAAGTCTTTACATCTTTAAATGACAGACCACCTCTTTCACACACTCACTAGGTTCATTTGACTTAAATACACACTTTCCCCCCTTTAACGGTCATGAAAAGAGAGGCTTAAAGATATTAATTTGAAGTAAAAAAGTTTGCCAGTGTTTCTATACAGATCTTCAGTCTGTGGCCTGAAGAAATAGTTATTGCCTACCGAAAATATAAATTCTTAGGATGTGTTAAACAGAGCCCGGGAGGGTCCCTCAGAGCACTCGGGGAGAGTCCACAGGCTATGCTCCTCGATTCTCGGCAGCGAGTGCTCTGCCGACCTGGCCACCCCGCTCAAAGGCCACTGTCACTTTCCAATGAATGTTATGTCCCTTGAAAAGGCGAAGTTTGTAAAAGGAAACTTGGCCTAGCCTCTCCTGGCAAGATGATGAGTGAGGAAAAGGAGAGAGACAGCGACATGACAAAGAACTGGAGGGGGTGGAAGGGGGTGGGATGGAGGGCTGAGGAGGACTCTTCCTGTGACTCAGACCAAAGGACAGGAATGCATATTTCCAAGATGAGCCACCGGCATTCCTTTGGAGAAGTGACTGTTTGTCAGGTCAGTCCAACTGCTGTGAGGACACTAAATATAGGTACTCAGAACATGTCTTTTAGGAAGGGGCTGGAAGGAAGGGGAGGGAGGGAAATGCAAGGTCATTTGTAAACCCTTACTTCAAAGGTCTGGCTGTTTGACTCTTTTCTTTTTGAAAGTGACTTCCCTTTCTGCAGAGAACATGAAGAATTTTAATTTTATTACGATTGACTCCACAAAGGTTAAATACTCAAGGGCCAGTTTTTAAACTGGAAGTTTTAAACTAGAAATTTTCTTCAGGAAATTAAAGAAAATGCTTGACTTTGGGGTCACCTTGAGTATAAGAGTTGTTAGAAAATGGCATCATGATTGAAAATTAGCTCTTAAGTGGCAAAAAAAAAAAGAAAAAAAAGTCTACACAGATTTAAAATTATGACTACTAATGCTACCATAAAAGCTGAAGCAGATGTGAACATGAAAAGACACACCACGCTTTACTGTCACAAAAGCCAGTGTCCAACATGTTTACTTAAGAGCCTACATTTCTCTGTACAGACCAGAATTCCTGCCTCAACCTTTCCACAGACCCACCTCTTTGAGGAAACAGTTGTCACAAACTGTGAATTATTTAGCAGGTTTAAGTCATTTTATGTACGTACATGTTCTCTTTTTGTCACTTCCAAATCCCCAAGATCTAAATTTACCTGGAAATATTTAGGATTTTTCTTACAGTAAAGGACTATTTGACTTGGGGCTAACAAAGAGTGTTTTCCACCTCCATATTCTGAAGATTTTCTTCCGAGAGTCCTTCTCAGGCCCAAGGAGGAGGAGGACATGACAAGCCTGTGACTGGCAGCCACACTTGATCAAGGCCGCTCAGTCCCATGAAGATGGCCTCGAGATTGTCACCTCAATACAGCTGTTAGTAAACTGTTGCCTGGAGAAAGTGGAGACGGGACACATCACAGCCACCCCTGGTGGCAGCCTCAAGGTCATTGACCATATGGGAACCCGGAAGTTATGCAACATTTCCTCTCTGGAGGTTCTCCTGACAATGACTTTGAGATGAGCCAGACAGTACAATCACTAACAGAATAATCGAGTGTGCTGGCTCTGCGGTCTCGTCCTTGGGTCAGTGTCAGGCATAAGGGCAGTGGGACTTCCCGGGGTTTAGGGACCGGGGAGGACACACACGCCTACAGGGCAGGTCAGTCTACAGTGACAGCATTCACACACAGCAGGACACTCGTGTGGCAGCCTGCATTTCTCAATGATAAGCTCTTTGTGGCCTCAAGTTTTCAGAGCTAAAGGAGACAGGTACTTAACCTGCAAAAGGGGCCCAGAAAGCCAGTAAATAATATGCCTATTAAACAACAGGCATAAATACAGGAGTGAAGAGAGTGTGCCTTGTTGAAGGTCAAGCTGCCCGTCAAGAACAGGTGAAAGAATAGACTCCTGAAGTCAGGGCTCCCCTCCCTGGGAGCTGGTGGCCATTTCAGAGCTCCTCATCATCCCTAAAAATAAGTTAACCTTTAAAAACGAGAGCCAAAGTGGTTTTTTAAAGGATTTATCTGAATCATAGTCCCCTCAAGCAAGTGAAAAATATGTGTGTGAGCTGGAAAGGCCCCATGACGAGCCCTCTAACCAACCCTTAACCAACCCCTTGGGTATGAGGGACGATGAGAGCAAGACTCTGGTCAGGAGTCACAGAGCAGGTGAGCACCAGACTGGACAAAGGACCAGGGCTCTTTTCCCTCCCAGCAGAGCTTGGAAAGTAAGATGTCTGCAACCCCAGCAGCACTGCCTGCAATGCAGGTAGAAGAGCTGGCTGCAAGAGACACAGTCCCCATTTTTCCTTCCCAGGCTGGCTTTACCACCACATGACAAATGTTCAGAAGAATGTGCTCAGATAATACAGCTATTGTTCGCAGGAGTGTTATATCAGTTGAAAAAGTGACCCTCCTTTCACCTCCAGAAGAAAACTGAACATATTTACATTCATTTTACCTGGTGGGGCCACTCGGTCCTGATATGTGGGCTTGAATTCGCTGATGGTGAGCAGCATCACTTGGATGGTTCCGATGAAGATGCCCGCCAGGCAGCCATAAAAAATGACGTAGAACAGAAGGATCTTAACTGCAAGGAGAACAGACAGAAATACAGAAGGCTATGAAGCAGTCCCATGCGCAGAATGCAGGGCGAACCTTGCCAGAGATGAATGAATTTCCTTCCTGGCTTCCCCTCTAACCTGTGTCTTCAGAGTCTCCTTTCCCAACCTTGATCAAGAGTCTGCACCTCACTCCCAGACTCCCAGACTGTGGGGTAAAAACAGGGGGACAGGGAGTCCTCCATTACAATGTACCTGTATTGCAGGATGGTTAAGGGTAGAATGAATATTCATTGAGAACTAAGATTCTTTAGGAAATAATTTTATTCCCTAAATCAAAAAAAAAACTGTCATGAAGATCATTAATAAAACCTAGGGCTGTGTTTGTATGCTTATGCAATGCCTTTCAAATATGACAATATACTCCCTTAGAGAATGATGTTTCCTTTGCTTGTTTATCCCTTGACATTTCAACACTACAATCCAGGCCCTGATGCTTCTCCAAACATTTGAATACCCAAGAGTTTTTATGCTGAGAAAGAGTGATGAATGCTGAGCAAGCTGGCGAAGCTCTCCTGACCAAGTACACCATCTTTCCTTTCAGGGGCACCAAACAAGGGGGGAGAAAAGAAAAAAGAAGGAACTGTTATGGTAAAATGGCAAGTAGAAATTTTTATTTCATCTTCTGACTGGACTCAGATTAAGGACTAATAAAACTGACTTCTCTTCTTCCCATAGTTCACAGGATAACAGAATGGAAGCCAAAATAGCTGCAAAAGTAAAAAAAAAAAAAAAAAAAAAAAAAACCACACACACAACCAAAAACAAAACCCCAAAAAACAAACCTTGAAGCCCATGGACTGGAATGAGGGTATCAGTTACCAGTTTACAGGGATTATCTCCCAGATTAGCCGCATAGTAACAGGCTGTACTAGGCATCGCCGGGCAGCCCTGTGCCAGCCAAACACTAAATGTGAGGGCAGCAGTGGGAACAGGGTTATCAAGTCTGAAACATGACTGCACAAAGGAGCCTTAAGTTACTTCTCAAAACATTCAGATCTCCTGCAGTAAAAGCTGGGGTCTTGGGAAAAAGCAACAGAACAAAAGTATTATTGAAGTGTGTGTGTATGTGTGTGAAGGAGGCCAGGAGGGAGTGGGTTCACTGTGGCTGAAATTAGCCAGGTTTGCCTTCTGTGTATACTTCAAAGCTCAACTTTTCTATCAGTGATAAATAGCCCAGGGGAAATGATACTCTAGAGTTGTTAAAACAAGGAAAATTCACATAAAACCTACAAAAAATGCTTCACCATAATCCTTTTTCTCCTCCATTAAAGAAAAAAAAAAAAGAAGGAAATGGGCAAAGACCCACGCCAAGATAAGAAGAAATGAAAAGACTGTACAATCCAGAACTACAGCTGCCCAGCTCAATCCATTCCTCCCCGCAGGACAAGAGTTAAGTGCTGCATTCTGTATCCAGGCAGCAGTAGGCAAATGGCAAGGCTGTGACGTCAAGAGATCTGGAAAAATTTTCCAGTGAATGCTCCTAAGAGGTGCAGGAGCTGGTGTAACACGGTCAACACGGTTCTTTGCTGCCCCCACCCTAGGCACTTATAGCCTAACCACGGAAACATTTAACACTCATTTCTGGGGCTCCAGATACCCGATTCTAACAACACGAGGAGGTACAGAATTGAGGCTACAATTTGATTTAAAATACAAGTATGACTGGGGAAAAACAACTCATTTTGCAAGCACACTGATTCAATCTCAGGAGATACACCCTCCCCTATCTGCCCAACACCGTACCCTCTGGGAATTGTGCTGAGATGTGTCTGAGTCTCCTGCGTTGGAGCTGTGAGGTCACTTGGTTAGAGCGGGCAACAAGCTGTGGTGGGGCGTAGGCAATGGGGGCCAACACGCTGGCTCCAAAAGAAAAGCCAGGTATATTGTACAGACCTGACAGGGTGACGCAGAGGGTACACTTTAGACACTTTTTTCCTTTTGAAGCAATAGTTCTTCCTTTAGAAAAAAATAATATAGAATTATTCCAATTAAAAAAAAAAAAGAGTACCTTCAAAAGGTCATATGCAGAAGGGAAAATGATATCTGGGCCCAGGGGTCAACATAAACACCTACCAACGCCTGTATTAACTTAACCAAAAGGGAGACAGCACTGGGCGATGTGCGTGCTATGTTCTCTCCAGCAGGTGACAGGCGAGGCTCTTGCGTCCATCTTGGTGAAAATCTACCTACAAGAAGAACTGAACCAAGGGCAACCTGCCCTGGTCTCAAGGGCATCCATGTTGGGCCCAGGGCTAGAAAGGTGGCGTTTTCTCCACAGGAAGACACGGCTGCTGCCGCCTTCTCTGTCTATGAGAGGCTCTGTCATTTCTTACATGGCCAGAAAGGAGGAGACATACTACTGCAAAAGAAAAATTGGATTTTTTAGCCCAGCACCTCACCTACACCTTGGAAAATGGAAGGAAAGATGAACCATAAGCATCACTCATGTCTGCATTCATGAATCAGTGTATCGACACTCTGCTGTATGTAGTATCAAGACACAAACATCAACACACACTCTTTCTCTCTCTCTCTCATATGGAGGTGCTATCAGCTTACAGGACAAGTGCTTCCATACTGCCTTACCCTTTAAAACAAACATTATTCTGGAATTGGCATGAGGAAAGAAAGATATTTTATGAGAGGGAAAAACACTAGAAGGCCAATTTTACAATATACCTAGAGTCGATGTAGCCCCTAGCCCCTGATGAAGCTGCGGTCAGATCATCATGGTAGGAACCTCCAGTGAATTTGGGAGAAGGGAGCCCATCCTGCAGCACGCCCCTCAGACCTCACTCAAGTTACCAAGAGTCACTAGGAGATGGCCCAGGGTGGGAGCTGTTCACTCCACAAACACCCTGAGTTCTCCAGGCCTTCCCTTCTACGTTAAGAAAACACAGAGAGCTATCATTCTGCATATGAAACTATGGCAGTGACCCTACTGAAGAATACAGTCTTCCCAAAATAAAATACAAAATACAAGCTGCAAGCCATCACCTTAAAGACCTGCATTCAACATGCTCAGGGATACCTATGCTTCTCAGCATAGGTATGGGATAAGATTTCACCTTGACTAACCTTGAAGTGTGATGCATTATTAACCCTTTACTTTTCAATCAAGAGAGACCCATTACAGGCTGCTTTTTTTTTTCCTCTACAAAAATCGTACACTCCAGGTTCTTCCATTTCAAAATGTCAGCCAAGCGCTATTTCCCTGACTCATTCTCCTGCCGATGCTCACAGAGCCTTCCAATCAGAAGAACCACATCAGCACCTACCCAGGGCTCCCTCAGTGGCTGCAGTGGCGGGGCTAGTGGTGTCGGTGATGGTGATGATGATATTAGAGAAGGAGGGGGCAGTGATGCAGGAGGGGGGAGTTCCCTCCCTCCTTCCCTCTCTCTTCCGCAGTCACGACTCATATTCAGATTTGCCTACAACTCTGCCCTTCAAAATGACCTTACAAAAAAAAAAAAGTCACCCTTCCCGTGTAGAGAGGAGGAAGAGAAGTAAGGTATCTAATTAGCAACGGAAAAAAAAAAAATCTATCCAGCCAAGCAACAGGCTACCCAAAATCTTGTAAGATGACCTGTTCTGCCTTTATGCTATTTATTTCTTACACCCAGGCACCGATTCTGCCTCTCTCTGTAGACACTGAAAACAAACCGACTTTTGCCATGTTTGGGGGCCCAAAGTTCAGAAATGGAGTCCTGACATAGAGCTTCCAGGGCCGTTTCTGGGCTGTGATGACTCCAGCGTAGGTCATCGGTGGGGAGATTCTAGGTCTCGCTAGGAAATACTGCAGTGTATGGATTCTGTCACCGCCGCCCCCCACCCCCGCCTTCTGAAGTACATATTTAGACTAGAAGAAAGGTGCTATAACACACAAACTCTCCTGCATTCGATCCGATTTCCTTCCTGCGGTTCTCTCAGAGCCTCAAATTTCATTTTTAAGGACTTGGGACACGACTGTAAGGGAGAGACAGATCAACTCTCCCACCGCCGGACCGTTCCCAGGACGGAAGGGCTCCAGTGATGCTCAGATAGGCTACAGCTGACCGAGACCGCCACAATCCACATAACGCTCTACCTGGCCAGCTCCCATCCCCGCCCGCGCCTATCCCGGGGACTCCGCATTCCGCACAGGGATGACAAGCCCGGGCCAGGGCAATCGAGCGGCGCTCACCACCCGAGCCGCTGCGCCCTCGCCAGCGCGGAGCGCGCCGAGCGGTCCGCAGAGCCTGCGCGGGGGATGCGCCTACCCGGAAACACTAGGCGCTAGGGGGGCAAGGGCTGCGGACCCCGTACTTACACCAGCTGCCACCGGTCCTGCCCAAAAACTCCTTCTTCTCCGAGTTCCAGATGAATTTCTTCCAGCTGCCCTCCTCCTTGGCCTTTCCGCGGGCCATGGTGGCGGGTCAGCAGCTGCCGCAGGGGCTGAAGATGGGTGACTGCGGCGTGCGCCCTCGCGCCCTCCCGGGCTGCCGTTCGGCGTTCCCGGCCTGGCTCCCCGCTGGCTGCTCCCGCCGCTGGCGCTGCGGCTCTCTGAGTGCCAGACGCGCGGCGAAGCAGAGTCAGGAGCGGCAGGAGGGGTAGGCGGCGGCGGCGGGGGCGGGGGCGGAGGGAGGAGGGAGGGACCGCGCGCGCTGGGCGGCTCCGAGCCCCGCACCTATTGGTGGGCGCGCGGCCGCTCGCGGGCTCTCTTTGGTCCGCCACGCGCTCCTCTCGCCCTTGGAGGGGCGGGGGGGTGGGAGTTCGGGGCCCGCAGATGCCGCTCCCGCAGCCACCAGGGACGCGTGTACGGCCCCCACCTCCTGTGACCTCTGCAGAAACAGGCAGGGACGGGAGAAAGTCAGAAGGAAGGACGGACAAAAGACAGCCGTCCGCCACGAGTCGAGAAATTGGCAGGGGCGCACGCCCTACCTTTACTATATACCGCGCGGGGCGGGGCCTGCGGCCCGAAGGGGCGGGCGCGGGGCTGGCACAAAGGAACCGCGGCGGCAGCGGCGGCGCGAGGGGCGGGCTGGAGAGCTGGGGCGCGGAGCCGGGATTGGGGGGGTGGGGGTGGGGGAACGGAGCACCCCCCCCCCCCACCCCGCGCAGCCCCATCCTCGATCCGGGCTGGGCACAGACCCGCCGTTTCCGTAGTGAGCTGCCCTGCACCTGCGTCGCCCGGCGCCCTGCAGGCGCTCGGGGTCCCCGGCCTCCCTCCGCCGCCGGTCCCACCCCTTCTAGCCCTGCTGGGTGGGGGAAGGTCACTCCCGGACGCCTGAGAGTCGGGGACTCTGCCCCGTTCCGCCCCGCCTCCCGGCTCCTGCACCTGCCGCCTGCTCCGCGCTCCCGGCTGCTGCGGTTGCAGTTCCGGCCCGTCCCTCTCCTTCCAGGCCAGCCCAGTCGGCCGCCCCGGCTCCTGACTGCCTCGCTGTGCTCCTTGTGGGCGGCCTGAACCACCTCAAGCTGGACAATTGCCAAACCCACCCAGGGCGGCAGCCCGGATCCGGGGTTGGGAAGGGGTGAGGTGGTGTAGGAGGCCGACCGGTCAGACCCCAGTGGGTTGTTCCCTGGGAAACCAGTCATACTGCCTGGCTGGCGGCTCACACCGGTCTAGACCTGGACGACAAAATCTGCAGGTGACCCGGCCACCCAGGACTCCCCTTGGCGCCGAATCGGTGCCTGGTATTGTCACGGACATGGTTTTATGCCCCCTTGGGGGTACTGACCACTTTGTTCTTCTATAAAATACCGAAGGCCTAAAAGGCTTAGAGAAGTCCAGTTCAAACGGCGAGAAGTTGCAAGGCAACCCTTGGCACCTATTGTTCCTTCCCCTCCTTTATCCCGTGTGCCTCACATGAAAAGCCAGACTTCTTGGTTTCATCTCCTCTGCTAAGCCCCTGAGCAGCCTCACATGTCCTTCTCACGGCAGTGACACAGCAGAAATCAGCAGGGCAGCCTCTGCAGTCAGGGCAGAGAGGCCCCGTCCCCAGGGGCAACCTAGCCCATCCATGGAAAGCAGATTTCCCATCCCCATATCTAGAAAGCCATACAGGGTGATGCTTGTCGGGGTCACCTTTTTGTCGCTAAGGTCAACCTAGCAGGTCTAAGGACAAGCTTGAATTGATGTAGTGTGAGCTCTTTCCCATGAATCCTTCCCAAGGCCCACCTACCTGACCTGGGCAAACCTGAAAATTCCTGAAATGCAGAAGCAGCCATCCATCCACCCAGCCCCAGTGGGGCTGCTGCATGTAGGCCTAGGTCAAGGGCGACTTTGAGAACTGCTCTGCGGAGAAAGGAAGCCACCCTCTGCTTTGCCCCTGCAAAGCAGTGTTTGTGTTAGAAAAGCCCCAAGCTGGTGGTAGAACTGCAGGAAGAAGCTAAACCTGTGGGGATGATGCCCCGGCCCCCTCCCAGCAGAAGTTACCTCGGGGAGGACTCACCAGCGGGCAGGTCACCCGGAAGGGCATTCGTTTTTGGAGTGCCTGCTATGTGCAAGACCGGGAAAAACCTGTGGGCAGAATCAGTGACAGAGGATGAGTGGAGGGAAAGATGGAATGGGAAGTGATGGGGGTTTGAGTGAGAGTGCAGCGCCTTCTTTTGTGCAAACTCCCCTTACCCACCCCTCCCTCCCCTGCCCTACGTCTCTCTTTTCCAGTAGAAGTATATAGTACAACAAAGTATGCAAAGACTCACATTGCCAGGTTTTTAATTAGAACCCTCATTTTCTCCTTAAAAAAGAGGTATCCTGCCTTACTCTCTAGAGCTGTGGCAAATGCCAGTTGGACTGATCCTGTGTCCGGCAAGGATGAGCTTTTTCTGCTGGCCTTTATGTACTTCTTCCCTGCTGTCTTTAGGGGAGGATAAACTCCCCTCAAACTTTGCCTCCCCAGCTTTGTTCATTCTCCTTCCCCTGCAGGTGAACTCTTGCCAGGTTCTGACAAGCTTTGAGGGTCATGCCTTCACGGCAGCATCTCATTCTAAATCAACCTCCCCCTGGCTTATACGAACCTCTGGGTTTCTACTCAAACTTGGTATTGCCACTGGAAAGCATGATCTCAGCTCTATGAGAATCAGATTCAAACTTCACCTTCCATTCTAGACTGTCTAGAATTGTTTAACTCATCTAGCCATGTTAGACTTCCCCGCTGGCTCAGACGGAAAAGAATCTGCCCAAAATGCATGAGACATGGGTTTGATCCCTGGGTTGGGAAGATCCCCTGGAGAAGGAAATGGCAACCCACTCCAGTATTCTTTTCTGGAGAATTCCATGGACAGAGGAGCCTGGTGGGCTACAGTCCATGGGGTCACAAAGAGTCGAACACAAGTGAGCAACTGACTGAACCATGTCACCAAAAAGAGCAACCTGGTGAAGGGCAAGATAGACCTGCATTCACCCAGCTTCAGTACTTGCTAGCTGTGTGACCTTGAGCAAGTCCCTTGTTCTCTCCAGGGCCAGTTCTCTCAGTTGTATAATTGGAGTGATACAGTGTTGCAAGGATTAAATGGGAGATCTGGGAAAGCCCTAAGCCAGTTGCCTGGTGCATAACAAGAGCTATTGAGCAACCAGCTTAATTATAATTAGCTGTTTCCATTTGACCTTGTCTAACCTTGAGGCTGCTGCTAGGAACTTCCCACTGTGATAGCCCCTCCTTGCCAGGGCTCTGAGTTCCCTGGGAAGGTCACCCTGACTAATTCCCCACCCTCTAGGCCACCTTTCTTCTTGCCTTCCAGTGCTTCCTGTTCTCTGACCTCCTCTAACTTGAGTAATGAATAACTCGAGCACACCGTGTCCCTTTGGGCTGGGCTGGGCTTGCGTCCTGAGGCCCCTTCAGAGAAGGGTGCTGTGGCAGCAGGTTGAAAGTGGAGAGTGAGTGGTTCTCTCGAGGGAGGGGCGCTTCTGGCAGATGGAGCTTGCGGCCGGGGTGGGGCTGGAGGAGGTGTGGGCCACGGGGAACTCAGGGGAGTTCAGTCCATGCTGAGAGAGGTCTGGTGTTTCTGTGCAGAAAGAAGGAGGACAGAATTCTTGGGCCCAGGTTAAAGGCTCAGGGCGAAAAGGACAATGTTTTCATCTGTTTTTGTACACCTGCTAGGGCATTGGAATGGCTGTGGGGGACTGTGGTTGGTTCTGCCCAAGACTGGAGCTCCGTGTGTAGGGGGGTTGGGGGTGGAGAGAGGGGAGCCTAGAGCAAGGATGGCAGTGAAGAGGGGAGGGAGGTTAGGGACCTCTGTCCAAGCAAGCAGGATGACGGTCTAACTCAGGAAACAAGGAGCTGCAGATTGAAGCAGAATGTACCCTGCAGCAGAGACTGGGCCCCGAGGTAAAAGGACAGGGCAGCCTTGTCTAGCTGCACGATGACCAGTCAGAAGCCGGGCTGGGACAAGAGGTGGAACAGGTCAACCCCAGGCTGCCAGCTACTTTGCTCAAGATCAGAGGGCTCACTTGGAGGTTTACCTGCCCACAAAAGAGAAGGTGCAGCTTGGCAGGCGGCGTGAGCTGATCCAGATCTGAAAAATAGAACCGCCCCCAAGCTGTCCTCTCTGAACCCCTTGGGCAAACACGCTGCGGTCCGCTCTGCAGAGGGCTGGGGAGGGCTGGGCTGCTGATCCCACGTTCAGGCACGTGCTCAGGGACAGCAGGGTTCTGTTCGGCCAGCCCCAGAGAGGAGGGGGTGAGGGGATGGGCTGCATGGTGACATCTTGGCAGCAGAAACTGTGTGCAGTGTGGAGGAAAATGGCTCAATGGCAGTCTCTGTTTGCAGTGGGGAGCAGACAGAATGCACCGCTCCGCAGTGGAGGCCCAGAACTGGGAGAGAGGAGGGCTGGGCAAGGTCTCCAGGCTGGGCATAGTGGTAGGAACATGGGCGGATGCCTGCCTAACACCTCATACAGTGTACTCGGCCCCACACCGAGCACCCTACCTATCCATCACAGTGGCCTGAGAGGTCCACAGGACATCATTTTGTGGGACCCTGCGTGTTGGACAGCAAAACATTCTGTGGAAAGGTTCTGCTTTCTGCAAGAAACCAGAGGCCCTGAATGGGGACATAGAGAAATATCCCTCCATTCCTTTCATTTAAAGTCATTCTGACCCTTTGCTGTTTCACTGGAATTGAATTCTTATCCTGGGTGAGGACATAATAAGAAAATAATGAAAAAGAACTCTTTTTTTGGAGGTCTATTTGGGAAAGTGTTATCCCTGTCATCAGTGGGAGTGACAAGTTACCTATGTTTCACCTTGGTCACCAGGCCCAGCAGGCAGACTTCCAAAAGTTGCCTTCTGTGATGCTGTTCTGGGAAACTGAGTCCAAAAAGTGTGCGTGTGGTGTGGGGAGACTTGCCTGCTTTCTCTCCACGGCCCCTGTCCTTTGCAGAGTTGCTGTTAGCTATGTGGGTGGTGGACGTGACCAGAGTAGAG